ACCTGAGCCGAAGGCAGAGGCTTTAACCCCCTGAGCCACCCAGGCGCCCCCCCCCCACTAGTCCTTTTACCTTTCCTCCCCTCTTTCCATCATCTTTACTTTGGGACCAGTAACAGCTCCGGGGGTCTTTCCCCATCCTTCTGAATCTCTCCTCCTTTCTTTTGACCTCTTTTTGTCCTTTCCTTCTTTGTTCTGCATTACAAAACACCCAGGAATGAGCTAGCAGTCTCTCAGAACAGGGAGCTGAAGTTCTGAGTGAACGAATGGAAGGCGTTCTTTAGCAGGCTGGCAGGAAGCATGGAGATGTCTGGGGATGTTGCTTGCCACTGTGTCTCATTCCTATTCCGCTGTGGCTGTCCAAATTCAACACGGTTCACACAGTTTCTGCAGAGGTACGTCCACCATTGATTCGCTGAAAGCCCGTAATAGCCATAGACCTCTAGGATCTAGGCCCAGCGGGCTGCTGAATACTCAGCGCCTTCACGGAAGGGCGCAGAGGACTGCGTGGGGACAGCGTGCCCCATCCAACCCCAAGAAATGGACCTGCTCTGCTGATGATGGCTGCCTGTGGGTTACAGAGCGGAGATCCAGAGTGGAGATGGTGGGTCTGATCACTGTCCAGATCCCAGAGGTGAGCAAGCAGCGGTTCCTGTCGGCTCTGCCGCACGTTCAGCTGAGAGTTGTCTGCTGGACCGGACAGAAAAAGTGAGCGCCTTCCACCTCCACGTATCTTACCATTCACCTAACAAGTAACCCCTGAGGCCAGGGAGATGGCAAGCTCGTAACTTCCAGGAATAGGCTATAAACTGTGACACCCAGACATGGTCCCTCTTTTCTGGTAGCTGAAGCCAGGCAAGGCTTCTGGACCCACACTGAGGGGTTAAGGAGGGACCCCAGAGCTCTCGCCTGTGACGACTCCCCGGTACCTACTGAACCTGAACAGGCAAACCCCAGCTTGGCCCAACTGTGGTCAGCAGCCTCCAAGGAGACCCTTGATGCCCCCTGCCCCCGGGAGAGTGCCCCCACACTCTCGGGCTCTCCCTGACAAATGGGGCCATGTCATGTGAGCAGCCCCACGGAGATGCCCGGTGGTGAGGAGCTGAGGCCTTCTGCCAACAGCCAGGTGAAGGCATTAGCTTGGAAACCCAGCCTCTAGCACCTCTAGCACCAGGAGAGCTTCAGACGGCTGCCGCCCTGGCCATCAACCGGACCGCACCCTTGTGGAAGACTGAGCCTGAACCACCTGGTCAACCACACCCGGCTTCCCAATCCTCAGAAAACTGTGTGACACAAGGAACGTTGTTTTAACTTGCCAAGTGTTGGGGTCTTTGTGCCCTATCAACCGGTAGTGCGTACGGTCAACAGAACAGATTAGAAGAATAACCTGGTATGTGCTCTCCAGAGCTCTGGGAGTTAATGGAGGAGAGTTAAGGTGGAGAGGAAGCAACCCCGCACATTTGGGGTGCCCCCCGGACATCGGTCCAAAATCTCACACCCAGCAGTCTTGAGAAACAGGGAGGTTACAGAGAGTCACATACACACACATCTCTGTTCAGGTCATTTGCTAGTAGAAATGGACTTTTTATCCTTTCAAGAGCAAAATCTATGACTACCAAATCCCATGCATATGACTAAAGCCCAGCTAATCAGCAAAGAAGAAACCATTGCTGGAGGAAGGTCTCTAGTTCAGAAACAAAATTTACCAAAACTCAAAGAAATGAGTTTATGCAGACGTTCTACAAGGGGGAGTATCTTACAGAAGACACCCTAACAACAGCCATAGGACGCTGCGGAAGCCATACCAGGCTCTGTGCCCTAGCCTCTGGATGAGCTGAGCAGCAGTTACGGTGACCAACCACCCAAGGGCCTCAGAGGCCAGGTGAAGTGTGGAAGCAGCCGTGCTCCGAGAAAGACAAAAAGTTCGAAAGTTCAGTTGCTGCCAACCTGCTACCTTGGGAAGAAGCAGATAATTATTTTTTTTTTAAAGATTTTATTTATTTATTTGACAGAGAGAGATCATAGGTAGACAGGGGTGGGGGGAGCAGGCTCCCCGCTGAGCAGAGAGCCCGATGCGGGGCTCGATCCCAGGACGCTGGGATCACGACCTGAGCCGAAAGCAGAGGCTTTAACCCACTGAGCCACCCAGGCGCCCCAAGAAGCAGATAATTATTAATTGTATTAGTAGGAAGCCTAAATATGAAAACCAAAAACGGCCCGAAAGGTTAACTCCTGTCTCAAATCCACAGACAAGGAGAACTTAGCAGGAGCAGCGTGCCTACACCAGGAACTCGAACGCCCAGGACCCCCGTGAGCCAAGGAACAGGGAGGAGTTGCCGCGGTGGGAGTGGGCGGCTGTCCTCTCTGCTCCCCTCCTTCCCACAGCCCCCACACACCTGCTGTCAGGGTGTGAATGCAGACAGACCTAGGACGTGCCGGACTCACACCTGGAGTTCACACAGGGGTTGCCTCAGGTGTCTAAGGGGATCCATGCTGAGCCATCCGGGTGCGTGCCAAGTTCAGAGGGCCAGGGAAGGACAAACTTGTCAACGGTGTTAGGAAGTACAGAAAGAACAAAGCTAGCCTGTGAGGGAAGGCCTGAGAGCCCAGGAAGCTCTGGTGAGCCCGCTTCCCGAGGCCTTATCTTTCCAGGGTCCAGGGCATGGGCACCTGGAGGCTTAAACAAGAGCCCCAGTGCCCGGGCTGGACTGAAGCCCTCAGGCACAGAGTCACCTGGGGTTGTGGACACAGCCAGCCTCCTGAGCAGCTGTTGACGTGCATTTGAATCAACACATCCACACTGTGTTCTCCCACAGTCTCCTTCGCCTCCACATCCCAGGAATACACTCCTGGGTATAAGGGACTTCCAGTCATGGGCTGTTTTCCTGTACTTCGACTGTATTTTATCCTTACGTCAACCCCGTGGGAAACCCAGGGCTGCTATTAGCTTCACTTTGCAGATAATTATTATCCCCATTTTAATGATGTGAAAATTGAGGCTTGGAGAAGGCAGCAACTTGCTCAAGGTCATAGGCTGAGGACAGAAGCCAGTGTAGTTCCGCAGGAGGCTGGCCTCTTGCCGTCCCCCTGCACTGCTTCCCACAGAGTGGCCAGGCAAAGAAGTGGGACCACAGTAACCACTTCACGTCAGGCAGTGTCCGTCGGAGTGTAACTTACCCTCCTCCCGAACACCTTCAAATTTCTTGCAGGCTTTGAGTCACAAACCCTCTAGACTGGGTGATTAGGGAACAGGGGTGAGGGCGTGGGGCTCGGTCACTTCCCATCAGGGCACATTGCACAAGCCTCGTTAAGGTAGGGGAAAGTACTGTCTCGGGAGTTGCAGTCCCAGGAGTGGTCCGGGTGGAGCAAGCTCAGGACCCAACCCTCCGGAGGCAGTAAGTGGGTGGGGCAGCTGGGGGGTGGTGCGAGAGGAAGGCCTGGTGGTGAAAGGACAGGAGAGGCAAAGAAGGGCAGTGAGCTAAGCTGTGTTAACTGTGGGCAGCCCCTCACACAGACCTGGGCCCAGGGGCTGCTCTCTGAGAGAGCCCTGAAGAAGCACCCGGTGCTGGACATTGGAGCACCCACCATCGGGACACTCAAGGTGAAAGATGTCCCCACACTCTCCAGCAGGGAGGGAGGGAAGCCTACACAAGCCACACTACTGTTCTCACACCTAAGGAGTAATGGTGGGGAGTGCAGGCCCAGAAACCAGTCAGACCAGCTCTGAGACTCTGTGGTGTCGCTTCTCAACAGCCAAGTCAGACGGGTTCATTTTTTACTCTGTTTCCTCATCTGTAAAATAGTGGAGCAGAGTTGAGAATAGAAGAGTGTCTAGGGGCGCCTGGGTGGCTCAGTGGGTTAAGCCTCTGCCTTTGGTTCAGGTCATGATCCCAGGGTTCTGGGATCGAGCTCCCCACGGGGCTCTGTGCTTGGCGGGGAGCCTGCTTCCCCCCCCCCACCCCCTGCCTACTTGTGATCTCTGTCTGTCGAATAAATAAAATCTTAAAAAAAAAAAAAAAAGGAATTGTGTCTGGTATGGGGACACCGGGGGCTCAGTCTGCTCACGGTGGGCCTTCCTTCGGCTCCGGTCAGATCTCAGGGTCCTGGGATCCAGCCTGTCAGGCTCCCTGCGCCAACTGGAGTCTGCTTCTCCCTCCCCGCCCCCCCCCCCAATAAAATCTTGAAACAAAGGGAGTGTCTGGAATGGACCAAGCACCAGTTAACATTATCTCTTGCGGGGGAGGGGGGAAGGGTGCCTGGGGGGGGGTCTCAGGTCATGATTTTGGGGTCCTGGGGTCAGTCCCAGGACGTCCTCCCTGCTCTGCAGGAAGCCTGCTTCTCCCTCCCCCTCTGGCCCTCCACCTGCTCATGCTCTAACAAATGAACAAATTCTTAAAAAAAAAAAAAAAATAGATCCGCTGTAGGACTGTGTGGAAGGCACGAAGGCGCACGTTTCCGTAAGCCACAAGCCGTCCCCCTAGTCCTCCATTTGTCTCCAGACGGAAAGCTCAGCAGTCAGTGGCCTCCAAGCTGACCACTCAGGCGCTGGGAGCAGAGGCGGCCGGGGCAGGGGGCTGCCTGCGGGCAGGGACAAACCGTCTCCGCGCCCTGATCCGATGACCGCCGCTGGGACGACTTCTAACGCCGCTGCGCCCCCGGCAGAGGAGACACCCCGCAGGACGAGGGTCCGCCTGCGCGAGAGCGCCCGGCCGCCTCCCTCCGCTGAACCGCGAACCAAGTGCAAGGCCCTACAGCTCAGAGACAGGGTCCCGGCTGCGGGTCGGGGTCCGAGTCCGGGTCCCAGGAGCGAGTCGGGGTTCGAGGCCGGGTCCGAGGGCCGCTCTCTGGGCGCGGTTCCCTCGGGCTCCCTCGCTTCGCCCGTAACACCGGGACCCGGCGGTCCCCCCCAGCAGCGGCGCCCGGGGACGGCGTGGCCGCGGCACGCAGCCCGGCGCGGAGTCCCAACACCCTACCTCCCGGGTTGTACTCGCGGCGCTCCGCACCCGGCGGCACCTAAGCCACCGCTAGGGAACGCCAGGGCGGCCGGGGGCGCCGCGGGCCGCCGCGGGGCGCGGGGAACCCGCCCGGAACAGCCGCCACCGCGCAGGCGCCGCTCCAGGGCTCGCCCACCGCGCAGGCGCCGCTCCAGGGCCAACATGGCGGCCGCGCTGCTGCTGCTGCGAGCCCTCTGCCGGGGCCGGTCAGCAGGGTCCGCGCCACTGCGGAGCCGCTGCTTGCGCTGGAGCCTGGGCCTCGCCGCCGGGACCGGGAGGAGGTGCTGGCACTTCGTCCACAGGCCTCCGACCCGACTCGTGGGGGCCCGAGGCCACGCCAAGCAGGTACCTGCCGACGCCGGGCCGGGCTTGCGCCTTCCAGCCCCTGACCTCCGGCCGGCCCCCCTCCCCCTCCCCCTCCCCCCTGCCCTCCCGTCCCCCCCGTCCCCCCTGTCCCCCCCGCCCCGATTCCTCCCCTGACCCCCGGCCCCCAGCCGGGACCGACCCCGAACGAGAGCGGCGCCTTCGGGTGGGGCGAGGCCGCCCGCAGCCCGGAAGAGACTCCGCACAGGCCCGGCCTGCATCTTCTCAGCCCCTTTGGTGTATTGATATTTTTTGCCTGTTGCTCGTTGTCCTGGCGTCTGAAAATCGAATCCAGGGGTGCCTGGCCCAGTCGGTGGAGACTCCGACTGGATCCTCGGGTGGTGAGTTCGAGCCCCACCCACGTGGGCTATAGACAGTACTTGAAAATAAAATCTTTTTTTTTTTTTTTAAAGATTTTATTTATTTATTTGACAGATCACAAGCAGACAGAGAGGCAGGCAGAGAGAGAGAGAGAGGGAAGCAGGCTCCCCACTGAGCAGAGAGCCTGATGTGGGACTTGATCCCAGGACCCTGAGATCATGACCTGAGCCGAAGGCAGTGGCTTAACCCACTGAGCCACCCAGGTGTCCCTTGAAAATAAAATCTTAAAAAAATACTTATTTTAAGGGGCTCTTGGGCGGCTCAGTCCATGAAGCATCTGCCTTTCGGCTCAGGTCATCATCCCGGAGGCTCTCGACCCATGGGGAGTCTGCTTCTCCCTCTCTCTCTGCTCCCCGTTAGTGCTCTCTCTAATTATGGAGAGCGAGGGAGCGAGATCACAGAGGCAGAGGGAGAAGCCAACCTGTGGCCGAGCCGGGAGCCAGAGGCAGGGCTCCATCCCAGGACCCCGGGATCAAGACCCCAGCCCAAGGCAGATGCTTCAGTGACTGAGCCACCCAGGGGCTCCCCCGCAAAAAGTTTTAAAAACTGAGCCCAGTGAGGGTGTCACGGAGAACTGTTTCATAGTTGGCTCAGGTGGGTCTGACCTCATGAGGAGGAGTTCCACATGGTCCTTGGCTGTTGGTCCCAGGGGGCTGACGGTTTTGTGTGAGCAAAGGTACTGTGCGTGTACCTGACCTGCGTCTTGCAGCTTCAGGTGTCACGGACCTGCGTTAACCGAGCACTCTCCTGAAGGTGCGCTCCAGGCTCTGCTCAGGTCAGCTGTTCATGCAGAAAACAAAGACCCCCTGTCCTGCTGCCATTTTGGCTGGTGATTCCCTCCAGTTCTCTCTCAGGAGCGCAACTCACGTTTTAGGTCCTAATTTGTTATTGTTGTTGTGTTTTACCATAACTCGAGGACCAGTTTGAATTATAATTCTGCTGTAGATTACAGCCTATCCTCTGGATTTTTTGTTTCTTTTCAGACTTTGCAGCTGCACCGGTTAACCCCAGCCTTCGGAGGGTTCAGTGGATTGTTGTTGAAACAGCATCTCCTCCAGAATCCAGTCAGACTCTGGAGACTCTTAGGTGTGTACCTTCTGAAACACAGGTGACGGGTACATGCTGTGACAGTTGTAAATGAATCAGTGGAGCAGCTGGTTTGACGCTGACAGAGAAAGGAAATCACTCAGGGGACTTTGGCTTCTGTTTCTCGGGAGCCCTGAGATGCTGTGAAGTGCAGTTTGCAGTCAGACCGACTGACCAAGGTCTGAACGGCCGAGTGTACTTATCTGAGTCGTCTCCCCACTCTTAAAAAATTCTGGTGTATGGCAGTAATTGGGCTTCCAAGGTCTTCCATATTCTCCAGGCAGCTGCAAGAACGCCCATCCGCATCTTCAGAGTGACTCTGTATGTCTTATACCCAGAAGGGAACTACAAACAGCCACAAGTAATTTATTTTTAACAATAGTTTTATCATTTAGTGAGACACCATGACATCTTCAAGAGACATCTTAGGTCCAAGGATTTAGGACCTTTAGGGTTGACAAGGTTGATCTTACACCGCCCCCCCCCCACCGTATATCCAGTTGGAATGGGGAAAAGTGAAATCCCCCAACTCCTAAAGGACGTTCATGGCTTGGTGCCCACATGTGGTCAGTCACATGCTTGCCTCCTATGTGTGTTTCCCCACTTAAGGGTATGCATGTGCCCAGGGCACACACCTCACTCTCTAGACAGCCTGGTCCTGTGTCCAGGGGCCATCAAGGTAGTCCCATTTCTGGTTCTCTTAACCTCATGAGGAGAGGTACAGCTGTCACGGTTGGTGAGACTCTCCTTCCTCTCCTTTTAAACATTAGTTCAGTTAGACAGTGGGCAAGACCGAGCCTCTTGTGGGAGGAGTGTCGTGTTTTGGTGATGGTGGCCACTGGGTTGCTGTTGACGCCTGTGTCGAGCCTCTGTGTTGCTCATTTATTTAAATTTGTTTAGAGTGAATGTGATTATTGAAGGGTTGTTCTCCAGCAAACTCATGAGGCTTCCCCAGGATACATTCATGAGGAAGTTTTATCCCTTCGCATTGCTAATCTGAATGGCAGAGACACTCTGTAAGTTCGAGTGATTTATTATTCTCCGAGTAGCAGCTGCTGTACTGAGGAGGATTCTGGCCTTCCGAATCTTACACCCGTAGGCTTCAGGTGGCTGCTGTTCTGGTTCCTGGTGAAGGTGCTCTTCTCCCGAGTGCCCCCTGTAGGGGCAGAGACCTCGTTAAACATGTCCCCTGTCCCCTGTAGGTGCCACTCGCTATTTTAACACCTCTACGCCAAAGCAGAAGACTAAGGACAAGGATAGATCTAAGGGGAGGACCCCTGAAGATGATGAAGGTACATCTGTCTTTCTTAAATAATGGCTACCTTGGTTGTCATCCCACGTGTGTTCTGGTCTCAGCAACAGGAAACCTGTCTTAAAAGTAGGATGAGCCCAGGGGCGGGTGGTGGCTCAGTGGGTTGAGCATCCAGCTCTTGGTTGCAGCTCAGGTCATGTTCTCAGGGTCGTGAGATCAAACCCCACACTCAGCGGGGAGTCTGCTTGAGATTCTCTCTTCCTCTGTGTCCCCACTCTCAAATAAAATAAATAAGTCTAAAAAAAAAAAAAAAAGAAAGGTTAATGACAAATGTGGGGTGCACCCAGGCCCCTGTGTCTCCCTGACTCTGAGCTCACCTGCCCCTGGTCTTGAATGTGGTTACTGGATCTTTTCCTGCTTGTCCATTAGAGGTGTTTCCGTCAGCACCTGTGTCCCCTGTCCTTTCCAGACGTCAGAAGGCAGGCAGAATTACCGTCCTCTGTGCGGAAAGGGTGAGTCTCCGTCTGCCTTGAACTCAAGTGTTGTGGCGTGGGGAGGAAGGCAGCGGGACACCTTGGTTGGACCCTACACACATTCCAGATGACGTGGAAGACCTGAGAAGCAGCCCCCAGAAGAGAGGCTGGTACAGTGCATGGTCCTGAGGAAGTAGACATCACTGAACCATGTGCATGACCACGGTGTACCCCAGTTCACAACAGCCTACCTTGCAAATCTGGAGTCTCCTTCCATGTAGAATTAGGACTCTGATTGGGCAAAGGGGTGAGGGGATAAAAGGTCAGTTTAAACTGAATGGGCTCTAAGGTAAAAGCTGGCAGCTTGGCGCTCCCAATAGTGGAAAGGGCTAACCCGTGGCGACGGCTGGAGTGCGCTCAGCACTGTACTGAGTGACTTGGTTGTCTTCCCCATTACTTCTCGCCTCAACGACCCCATTATTGTCCCCCATTCTGGTCGGAGTCTCCAAAGGACACACAGGGAGAGAAATGGTTGTCTTGTCAAGGAACTTCTTCGTACTTAGGTGCATACTTCGTACTTTTGTTTGGTGTACTTGTTTTATTTTAAGATTTTTATTTATTTATTAGAGAGCGCTCACAGCAGGGGGAGAGGGAGACGCTGGCTCCCCACTGGGCTGGGAGCCCGATGTGGTGCTTGATCCCACATGACCCGAGCCGAAGGCAGATGCTTAACCGACTGAGCCACCCAGGCGCCCCGCTTGCTTCATTTTTATTTATTTACTATTTATTTATTTATTTATTTGAGAGAGAGAGCGAGCGCATGAGCCAGAGTGAGGGGACAGGGAGTTTGGAGGGAGGAGGGGTAGCAGGAGAGGGAGAAGCAGGCTCCCCACCCAGCAGGCAGCCTGAACATGGGGCTCCATCCCAGGACCCTGAGATCATGACCTGAGCTGAAGGCAGACGCTTCACTAACTGAGCCACCCGGGTGCCCCTATTTTTTATTATTATTTTTAAACTAATCTGTATGTCCAATGTGAGGCTTGAACTCATGACCCTGCGAGTTGCATGCTCCAGCGGCTGAGCCGTCCCGGTGCCCCCCCAACTTTGAGCTCTTTAGGAACAGCCTTAACTCGTGGAAACCTGTGGCCGTCGGGTGGGTTTGGTGTGGGTATTCCTGGTTTCTGGCTTCATGGGGCGCCCCCTCTGGCAATCACTCCTTTCTTTGGCTGCAAGCTCCTGGGGTACTTGGCTCTTCTCAGAAGCTTCTGAGTTAAAAGGTTTTTAGGGGTGGAAGATGAGGGTTTGGGTCATCAGAAAATCTACAGGGTTTTGGAAAACAAATACCAGTGGGGCTGATGGTGGCAGACATTAAAATTCAGTTCTCCCCAAAAATGAATGTGTTGGTCTAGTAATAGAAGTTTGAGGGAACCAGAGGGGGAATCTGGAGGCAGAGTCTGGCCTAAGAATTCGTATGGGACTGCAGTGGCATTTCACGCAGTAGCAGAAGGGAGGCTCGTGTACGAAGTGATTTGGATCAGCTGCTGTTCCTTGGAGAGAGACTGTACCGCCCGGACCAGAATAAGTTCGGCATGGACTAAGTCATTAAATC